AAAAAAAACAAACAAAAAAGTAAAATAAAATAAAAAATGAAACAAAAAAGACCAATAAAAACAAAAAAACAAAAAACAAAAAGAGAGAGAGTTGATTAAAAACACGTAGCGAACAAAAAACGATAAATCTTGGGATAGTGTAGTGGGGGGGGTGGTGGTGGTACTGGGAGACAGGGGTAGGGGTAACAATCAAAGCAACCTGATATTTACCAATTTCACGAGTAAAAACGTATCCAAGGTATTGGATGATATAATAGAGTAAAAGGTAGGGGTGATATTGGTGAAAGGGGTGGGGGTGATATCAGAGGGGGTGGTTTGCTAGGAAGTGAAGAGTAGGCTATGGAAGTATAGTAGTAGTAGAGAAGCCCTTTTGAAACATAGAGTATCCACGAAAATTGCATATTCGTGGATATGGAGTATATAGAAAGAGAAAGAGAGAGAGAGAGAGAGAGAGAGATAGAACATAGAGGTGGAAGGTGGTGGAAAGGTGGACACAACACACACACAGATACACACCTACATATATACACAAACACAATACAACGATAAACGTGCGTTGGACGTCGATCTCTACTACTCACTCTCAATTTCGATCGAATTGGAGACCTCGTAGCGTGTAAGTGGAAAATTGGCTGATGCAATTTCGAACCACCCTTCTACACACCCTACCCCCACCAACCCTTCACCCTACGTACCCCTCTTTATACAGCATATTCGCAAACTCCTCTCTATATATATCTCTGGTATCTCTCTGTTTCACTCTCTCACTTATACATTTACACACACACATTTATACACACATATACAGACACTTTATCTCTCTCTCACACACACACACTCTCTTTATTTTTCTTTGTGTTTTCTTTAGGAAAACAATATAGCATGTCCTGGTGGTGTTACGTGTATCAATCGTCACCGTTTCGAAAACTGTTACGTCATAACCAGAAATTCCTTCCCTCCCCCTTCCATCCCCTCCTCAACCCCTTCTTCTCTTCTATTCTCTTCTCTACACTTTTATCTTCTCGTTTTGTTGCATAGAAAATAGAAGAATATGGTTAACGGAAGTTACGAGTCTCGTTGTTCGCACGTTTACCAAATCCCTTTTCAACAATTCCTACATTCTTTTTCCATTTTGTTGTTGTTGTTGTAGTTTTATTTGATTTGATTTGATTTGATTTTTTTAATTTTATTTTTGAAATGATAGAGAGAGAGAGAAACTTTTGTCAATAGTACAAGTATATCGAATACGATTTTGGATTTAGGTTTTTAACAATATGAGAATTAGGAGTCCATTGCGGACAAACAACGTGACACGTAATTTATATATATATCTAAAATTGATTAATAATAAACTATAATTTATATCGTTGTTGTGTATGTCCAATTAATAATAAACGATAGAAGAGAGAGAAACATCTAATACAGTTTTAAGACACCAGAAACATGTTTCATTCATCATTTCAATAATGCATCTCTTACCCTCTCCGATTTCTATCCATTTCTTTTTCTACAATAAAAAAAAAAGGCGATGCCAAAAGCAATACTTGGAAGGAGACACCATTTCCAAGTTTACACCATACACTACCATCAAATATCACCAATACCATCCTACTATCACTTGCTATACTATTTTACCAATACAATCCCACTATCATCAATACCACCACCTACTATCACTACCCCCTACCCCCCACCCCCTACTACCATTACCAATAACATCACCATCCCATAAAGATGAAAAAGAAGAAAAAGATAGGGGGTGAAAAAAAATAAAGAAAAAAAAAGAAGAAGATCTGGGAATAGCTATGCAGGGGTTGCCGGTAATGCTCACATCAATAACCTATCATATCTAACTCCTTGGATAGTAGTAGTGTAAGTGAACCCTCTTCCGAACAACCTTCGAGAACCCATCTTCGAGTAGTCTGCACTTTGCTTACCTTAGAGTATCTACCCTTTCATTTCCCCCTACCCTATCCTACCTTACCCCACCTCAACCCAACCCCTTTTATCACTCTTTCTCTCTCTCTCTCTTAGTCGTTCACACATCTCAAGAGAACTCCTCTAATTCTCCAAAAGCTTCCAGCCAAAGCTCACTGATATTCCCTTCGTTATTGATACCGGAAGGAATTTCAACAAGGGCTAAGTAACTCTCACTCCCACCCTTTCAACTCATTCTCCTCATCCCTCCTTCCTACTTTCCTACATATTAATCTGCATGAATAATTTTGTTCTCGTGTAAAAATGAAAATTTTTTTTGATTTATTTAATTGTAAACAAATGATATTTGTAAAAATTTGATTGAATTATCTCATCACATATTATATATTGTAATATATACGTAAGTGACATTTTTGTTTAAATATTTGTTTAATTATTTCAAATCTAGTATTGTGTGGGTTTAATTTAACTTTGTTTATGAAATAGGAAAATTAATTGCAACATTCTTTCAATGTACGGAGGACAGGAAAAATAATTTTTTTTTAAATAATCTATTCTTTTTAAACAAGATAATATATATATATAATAATAATAAAGAAAGAAACCTAACTCTTAGGCCCCCATGAAAATTGATGTCTAAAAGCTCGGATTATATGATCGGAGTATTGTCCTTTTCCAAATTCACTTTCAGACTGACGGGTTGTCCTCTGTCAAAATTCTTTCATTACATCTTGTCTATATGACTTTCATAACATTGTGCATGTGTGAAGTGGTAATAATATTTCAAATAAAGAGTATTTTACATTATAACGTTCTCATTTTAGTATTTATTGCATTCTAATGTAATTATTTTATCACACATGCGCAGTGGTGAGTCCGAGGGTTAAATTATGCAGTAACATAAGTAAAGTGTATTAGAATATTGAAATAATTGTTAATTAATCGAAAGGAATGTGTATTGTTATCTGAAAACACCAAGTATATGATCAGATTACCGTCCTCTTTGAAATTCACCTTCAGACTGACGGGTTGTTATCTTTCAAAATTCTTCTATTAATTATTGTTTATATGACTTTCCGAACATTGCGCACGTGTGCAACGGTAATAATAATTCTAATAAAGAGTATTTTACATTATAACGTTGTAATTTCTGCATTTTTTGTATTCTAATGTACTTTTACTATGACACCTGCACAGTGATGACTTCGAGAGTTGAATCGTCCTGTATTGTATAAAAAGTGCATCAAAATGCATAAATAATTGTTAATTAATCGAAAGGAATGTGTATTGTTACCTGAAAACACCAAGTATATGATCGGAGTACCATCTTCCTCGAAATTCACCTTCAGACTGACGGGTTGTCCTCTTTCAAAATTCTTCTATTAAATATTGTTTATATGACTTTCCGAACATTGCGCATGTGTGCAACGGTAATAATAATTCTAATAAAGAGTATTTTACATTATAACGTTCTCATTTTAGTATTTATTGCATTCTAATGTAATTATTTTATCACACATGCGCAGTGATGACTTCGAAGGTTAAATTATGCAGTAACATAAGTAAAGTGTATTAGAATATTAAAATAATTGGTAATTAATCGAAAGGAATGTGTATTGTTACTTGAAAACACCAAGTATATGATCAGATTACTGTCTTCTTCGAAATTCACCTTCAGACTGACGGGTTGTCCTCTATCACATCTGCACAGTGATGACTTTGAGAGTTGAATTGTCCTGTATTATATAAAAAAGTGCATGAAAATGCATAAATAATTGTTAATTAATTGATGAGAATGTTTATTGATGTCTAAAAACTCGAATTATATGATCGGAGTACCGTCCTCTTTGAAATTCACCTTCAGACTGACGGGTTGTTCTCATGTGTGCAACGGTAATAATAATTCTAATAAAGAGTGTTTATAACATTATATGAACATTTGACAAACAATTAAACATTAATGAGAACCTAGTCACGTTATTCTAAACTTATCAATGATTCTAATCAAATGTTTAGATATATATAACAAGTCTTTCTAACTACACACACACACACATTTATATATATATATAACTTTGGGACATAGAAAGCACCTTTCTCGAAGGAGGAAGAGGAGTCCTGGAGTTTCAACTAAAATTGAACAATTCCCTGCGGCTTTTTGAAGATATCTTCTCTCTCTTTCTCACACACACTCACCCACTCACTTTCTCTTCTTCTTTTTCTTCTTCTTCTTCTTCTTCTTCTATTCTGTGTTATCCAACGTGTATTCGCTTAGGAAAACGGAAAGGCCCATGAGGGCGAAAACGAAAAGAAAAGAAAAGAAAAAACGAAAAAGGAAAAAAAGGACAGACAAGCGACCACCACCAAAGCTTCTCGCGACGTGTAGAAGGCCAATGTATTCTACGTAAAGCTCTTACAAGTCCA